AGTCAATAATAAATATGTGATGGCCTGAAAAACCAAAACAAAAAATCTCCTAGGATGTCATAGAGATATATGACATGTTTCTGACCACAGATAAAGAATGCAGATCACTGGAATTTGCTGCAATCCACATATGATATACAACAAATTTTCTACTTGAACATGTTGTGACAGGCAAGCATTTTGGAATTTTTCTGTAATATCAACATGCACTCTGAGGATTATATCACTGTGCAGCTTTATTCAGACAACTGACAATGTTACCCTCCCTCTGTTATTCAAGTCCTTTACTCAATGAGAGAGGCTTGCTAAAGTCAACTCTTGTACTATGCCTCTTCCATCTAATTACTGACCATTCCAAGTCCAACACGCATTTGCTTGCCAAGACATCAAATGTGCCAAAACATCATAGCCTTCAGATGGTTTCACTGGTATTCATACTGATATAAGGGGATTTTAATGTCATCATCCTGCTTTTGCTATATTTCAGCATTAAGATCAAACATTAATTAACATATTTTCAAACATAGGAGGCTCTACATTCTGGCTATCCTTCAAACCGGTGATTCTCAACCCTGAATCTCCACATGTTCTTGAACTGCAATTCCCAGAAACCCTGGCCAGCACAGCTGGTGAAGGGTTCTGGGAACTGCAGTCTAAGAACACCTGGGTTACCCAAGGTTGGGAACGACTAATTCAGACAAAGGTACTTTGCTATCACAAGTAACTTGTCATTATCACAAACCATGAGTTTTAAGTTTAAAATCAACTATATCAACAATGGAAGTCTGTGCTTGGAACACAATATGTCACAATAGAAAGCTATCTAGAAACTGTTGTCCAGTATTATAGCAATCATAATAATTTTCATTTGCCTTTTTAAATTCTCATCTTGCAAGCTGTATATAAGTAGTTTATTAGCTATTCAAATAACTGCATTTGAAGCCTTTAAAAAATTTCTGACTTTAGTATTATTCACTACTTACCATGCTCAGTGAAACTACACATTACTTCAGACATCTTGCCCTGAATCAAAACTGCTGAGGCTCACCTTGTACTATGCCTTCCAGACTCTACTGGCCACTGAATGAGTACAGATTTTTATCTTTATAATGAAGATTCAAAACCAACATACAGATCTGGAAATCTGAATTTATGGGCATTAAGACATGCATAGCAGGTTCCTATATAGTAGTCACCATTCCATTCATGCCAACCAAGTTCTACTTTAAGATCTAAAGTGCTATCTAATAATTAACAATTTAACCAACCTTTTATTGCTAGCAGGAAGAAAAGCCAGTAAAACATATGAAAACCTTCTGCTATGACTTTCAGAGCATAACAGTGCAGTATGGCCCAGTGAAAAACCATGGTACAGATCTGCCAATTTCAGACATCAGGTGTAGGACAACTGGTTACTCTCATCTCAGTTCTAATTACAGTGTGTTCTCAAGAGGTAATTACATAGTTTTCAAATTCACCGAAACAAACTAAAAGATGAAGGGCTACATCAATTTTTTCTAAATTGAAAATCTTAAATTACCCTCCTTAATCCCACATATCCAATATACTACAATATATTGCCCTGATTACAGAAGAATGAACTTCACACATTTAAATACTGCATTCATGATAAGTATGATTCCAATATGGAATCACACTTAACTTGTTCATATTCGTGGCATTCCTGCAGAGAAAAAAAAATAAAACTGCTATTTCTTGCTTACCTTGCCTTAAAGCACATGAACTAAGACAAAAACTATGAACAACACCCTACAGATGTTTGTAACTCAGTACTGAAAAAAATTCAAAAGCCAAGTTGCCGTGCCTTTAGAATGCATCTAAGAAACTAGGTACCTATCTTTTTTCCCACCCCATCACCTAAAAAATCTGAATTTAGTGCAGTTAAAAAAAACACAGAGGGACAGGTAGGACAACTGATTCCAGAAGCCCCAAGAGGCACAATATATTACCAGACAAGTCAATTACTTTTCCAGACCACTAATACAGCAGTAATTCTGCAGAGTTAAGGTGTCATATAATATAAACAAATAAACCTAAAGTCATAATACTTGATGCTTTATTCCCAGTGAAATTCACAATTCACAAAATTCACACAAAGACAAAGGCAATTCTGCCTATCCTTCTCATACTGCATGTGCTCCAAGTGTTCTTGTCTACTGAGACAAGCAGTTCCTATTTTATTTAAGATTTTATCTTCTGTAGGCTTGTCTCATGTCTATGCTCTCCTACACAACTTAGTTATGTTTCCCAATATTCCAGAAAAGCAACTAAATTGACATAATCCTACCAGACACCAGAAATTCTTCCTAACATGCTGGCTTTTAACTTCAGTAGAAAGCCTGTGTATGTAATCCTAAAAACATTAAGAAGTTATTTTAAATAATCTACCACAAGTTTAAGATGTAGATCTATCCCAATCCAATTTTAGAATAAAATGAATTTGTTAAAACCAAATCATGTATGAAAGCTTCACATTCACAACCTAATTCTATGTATCTTTGCTACACATGTCAAAGATCAAAAGGGCAAAACTGGAGTCCTCAATTTCTATATGCAATTATTATAATACTGTACATCAGAACCAAGTTATTAAAAGCAAATGCACTTTAGATTACATTCTAAATAGAAATGAAAGTTTAGTGATATTTAGGGCTAGTATTAATTCCAATCTTTGTTTAAAACTAACAATAGAGCTTTTCAGGGGTCATGTCTAGCCTTTGCTAAACAAAGTGAAACACACATGTGCCTCATAATCCTTTTCAATTATCATACTGCTTGAGCATATGTCTTGTTTTAGGAATACTTATCTTTTTCTTTCAAAGAACAACTTAACACAAGTTGATCACTGAAACTCATTGTTTACAACAGCTATCTAAGAAGGCATAACTTATTAATCCTACTAATCTCTTATTAAGTTACATTTAAACGTACTATATAAAAATGGTCTCTTATGCAAAAGTCTGTTGAAAAGTCAAAGACAGATCAACACCACACCTATGAGCATTAAATATAACAGCCACGGTGGTACATACAGCTTCCTTGTTGAAATCACTAATTTTCACATCCCAAACTGCTACTTAAGCTTTAGGACAACATACAGTACACACAATTTATGTTGAAAGCACTTAATGTGTATGACAATTACCTGTAACATTTACATGTATGGATACAGATGAGAGGTGCATGAAACAATCTAACTGAGCACAAAATGCCATTCAGAGTTCACTGAAATTTAGCAATATCAACTGGAACTTTCCTACATGCACTATGGACTGACTTGCTCTTAAGGTTCCAACCAAAAACACTTAACATCTTTTCCAGACAGCTGCCCCATTACTCTGGCCTTTTCCCTCTACCAATTTATATATGTGAAAGGAAGATTCTGGAAAGGAATATTTCTTAAGAATCAAAATACCAAAGCAATGATTTCTTGCAATGCTGAAAGTAATAGACTAACTTACTAAGTATCATGTGAGCACTACATCGCATTCAACCCAAGGTGGCTGTGCTGTTAAACAGAAAGGTTGTGCAAATCTTTCCCTGCATGTTTTTAAAAGCAATGGATCAACTTTCACATTTAATGTCATTCAGGAAAGGACAGCAGTAGTTAATCACATCAGGATTGTTCAAGGCAAATTGAATTAAACCCTCCTCTATGGACAGACATAAAAGAACCTTCAAGGGGATAAATCTTAAAGGCACAAGACTTATTAAATCCTAAATCCACCTCCCCAACCACCAAAGTAAGCAACACTACTTTCTCCCCAACATTAAGTCTGACTCCACTGAACCACCCATAGACTTGTGCCTTGTTACCCTACCCGCCTGAGTGTTCAAGGCGCTTTGCTTTCCATGGGATCCAGAACGGCGGGAATTGGAGCTACTCTATACTGTACTTGTAGAGGAAGACAAATCTGCAAACTTAACCGAGACAAAAAACAAAAAATCCCACCCACAATGCAACAGATATCTGGTGGTGCTGACTGCAGCGAGGTTGTGGAGTTCATTACGCACAATCCAAACAAACTCTAGACCATTTCCCTCGCCTCGTTTCCTCCACCCATCCCATACCGTAGCTCTGTAGGCGAAAATCAGTTAAGTCGGAACTGAGTGACTCCAATCTCGACGGTGGCTCCTACCGCCACCCCCAACCCACTGCGGTGCCAGCAGATGCTTTGCAGGGATTTCCTCCTTTCCGACCGTCAAACCCAAATGCGAGTGGCAGCGCACGTTGTGGCCCTACGGCAACTCACACCATGCCTCGATCCCACCTGGAAAAGCCGAATCTCGCTTTGCCCGACACCACAAAGCCCAGGACACCGCCTTCTGCTACTCCGGCTCACAGTCCGGATCCTACTCGAGGATCTTCCGCCCCCGCCCCCCACATTAAGAGGGACACAGTCACTCAACACCCGGTGGAAGGCGACCTCCGGGACCTTGTGCATGGAAGA